ACACACACACACACACACACACACACACACACACAACACACACACACACACACACACACACACCACACACACACACCACACATACACATATTATATATATATGCTATATATATATTTATATTACTATATATACTACTCATAGACATATACATACATATGCAGGATATATATATATTTTTTTATTATTCATTATTGGTATTACTTTTTTTTTTTTTTTTTTTTATCTTCAATCCTTTGACTACTTGCTCAATAAATCTGCATTTAATCCAATGAAATGCAGCTCAAGTTGAAACAATTATTTTTAAGTCATCACTGGTCACTGCCTTCTATGCTTGGCCAATTTGCTAGTCATTCTAATTTGCTCTTTCCCTTTTCAATTTTGCTGTATCTTAGTCGAGCCATGACAGTGAGTGAGGGGGAGAAATTCCTTCTTCAGTTTACAGACAGTTGGGGAAGAGAGGTTTTGCCCCCCCCCCCCCCCCCCCCCTCTCTTCTCTCTCTCTCTCTCTTCTCCTCGTCTCTCTCTCTCTCTCTCTCTCTCTCTCTCTCTCTCTCTCTCTCTCTCTCTCTCTCTCTCTCTCTCTCTCTCTCTATTTAGCCAGTCTTTCTCTGCCTTCTGTCTCTGTCTTTCTTAACCTTCCCCTGGCTTTGTCTTTCACTTTCTCTTTCCTGTCTATATTTCTGTTCACATTTTCTTAATGCTTTGAAACCTGGGTCCTGTTGATGAACAATGATGCTGATGTTTTTTGTATTCTTTTCTTTCTTTTTTTCTTTTCTTCTTTCTTTCTTTCTTTCTTTCTTTCTTTCTTTCTCTTTCTTTCTTTTCTTCTTTCTTTCTTTCTTTCTTTTTTAATCAGGAAAAAAAAATGCAACTCCATACTATCCAATCTTCCCCCATGACAGTGAGGATTGTATGCAACCTTGATTTCCTTACATGAAAAAGGTAAAGCATGAATAATTCTACCTGGTCCCACTCATAAACAGAAAAACAAAAGCAAAAAACTATATATACATTGCAGTGAAAGGTATCATGACAAACAAGTAAAGTCCTGAATTGTTGTGATCGCATATGCAGGCTGCAATTTGCTCTTAAATTTTTGAAATGTTATAGATGTAAGGTTCACCCTTTAGTTCCTTCTGCTTTTGTAATAGAGCACTTGAACAAACATGAAGAGAGAGAGCAGTATTTAGTATATAAATTACTTCATAATCCCTTAGTTTGTCTACTGCAAAAGGATGGTCTCTTTTGTTTCAAACAATTATGTTGGTGGTAATGTGTTTTTGAAAAAAATAATGATCAGTGTTTTGTGTATTCGCAACCATCTATGACTTTTTAAACAATCAGAAGTCCTATCAAAGAGTAATGTACTTGGTGGCATAAAGACACTATACGTCACTACAGTTGTTACCTAGTCCCGTTATTTTTTGCCTTTGTTTTCTCTTCACTTCATCATGATCAGAGCCATCTTTCTTATTGTGCAACAGTCTCTCTCTCTCTCTCTCTCTCTCTCTCTCTCTCTCTCTCTCTCTCTCTCTCTCTCTCTCTCTCTCGTCTCTCCTCTTCTCTCTCTGCTCTCTCTCTCTCTCTCTCTCTCTCTCCTCTCTCTCTCCCCTCTCTTCTCCCTCTCTCTCCCTCTCTCCCTCTCTCCCTCTCTCCCTCTTCCCCCTCTCCCCCTCTCTCCCTCTCTCTCTCTCTCTCCTCTCTCTCTCTCTCTCTCTCTCTCTCTCTCTCTCTCTCTCTCTCTCTCTCTCTCTCTCTCTCTCTCTCTCTCTCTCTCTCATCTCTCCTCTCTCTCTCTCTCCCTCTCTCCCTCTCTCCCTCTCTTCCCTCTCTCCCTCTCTCCCTCTCTCCCCTCTCTCCCTCTGGCCCTCTCTCCCTCTCTCCCTCCCTCTCTCTCTCTCTCTCTCCTCTCTCTCTCTCTCTCTCTCTCTCTCTCTCTCTCTCTTCTCTCTCTCTCTCTCTCTCTCTCTCTCTCTCTCTTCTCTCTCTCCCTCCCTCCTCCCTCCCCCCTCCCTCCCTCCCTCCCTCCCCTCCCTCCTCCCTCTCTCTCTCTCTCTCCCTCCCTCCCTCTCTCTCTCCCTCTCCTCTCCTCCCTCCTCTCTCTCTTCTCCCTCCCTCCTCCCTCCCCTCTCTCCTCTCCCTCCCTCCTCTTCTCTCCTCCCTCTCTCTCTCTCTCTCCTCCTCTCTCCTCTCTCTCCTCTCCCTCTCTCTCTCTCTCTCCCTCCCTCCCCCCTCTCCTCCCTCCCTCTCTCTCTTCCCTCCCTCCCTCCCTCCTCTCTTCCCTCCCTCTTCTCTCCCTCCTCCCTCTCTCTCTCTCCCTCCCTCCCTCCCTCTCTCTCTCTCTCCCTCCCTCCCTCTCTCTCTCCCTCCCTCCCTCCCTCTCTCTCTCCCTCCCTCCTCTCTCCTCTCCCTCCCTCCCTCCCTCTCCCTCCTCCCTCCCTCCCTCCTCCTCTCCCTCTCCTCCCTCTCTCTCTCCTCCCTCCCTCCCTCCTCTCTCCC